TCCCCGGCCTGCCACCCGCTCGCCGCTGCCGGCCGTCTCCAGCCAGACCCGGCCGCCCTCCGCCCGCCCGCCGGGCCCTGCCTCGCCTCCGCGCTGCGCTGAGCTCCCGCCGGCCGGCCCAGCCCGAGGCGCACGCCGCCGCCCGGCCCTCTCGCACCTCCCTGGCCCGCGCCGCCTTTTCTAGGCGCCTCCTCCTCCCCCAGCCTCTCCCCGCCCTGGCCGGCGCCTCCTCTGCCACCAGCCCGCCGCTCCGGGGCAGGCACCCCAGCCACCCGCGCAGCGAGGGTACCTGTGGGGTCCACAAGTCATCCCAAGTAATACCCATAGTAACAATCATAATATTTAGGGAGGCTATTGGAGGTTTTAATCCCAATAAAAGCATCTCTAGAAACTTTTCTATTTGGAAGTTTTAATTTTATCTGTAACAGAATCAGTGTAGCAGAACAAGGTAGTCCCTTCCTTCCAACAGAAATGCTCAGCCCCTTTGTTTATGTCCTGAAGTGGACACCACGCCCTGGGGCCAGTGTCTGTGCACCCAAGGCCAGCTTATTAGTAGGACCTGTCAGGTGGACAGCCCTGGGGACATTAGAAACACTTCGTGGAATCCTGTGGCACCTGGTTGTCCCTGCATTTTTTCCAGGCAGGTTCTTGGACAAAGGGTCTTACCCATCTTTACCCTCTTTGCCTCCCCCACTCCCCAACCAGAGAGAGAACACTTGCCTCCTTTTCTTCCTGCCATCTTATTAGATGACTGGCGAGGGGCGCATCCAGCTCCCCCCTACACAGACCCCTCCCCCATCCCTCACACCCGGGGACCCAGCCTTCTACTGGGGGAATGAGGGAGAGACTAATACCATGGCACAGAGAGCAGGAGGATGGGAAGTGTGGACAGATACATTGGTCCAATTCGCCCTTTTGATGGTCTAGAGAGGGCCCAAGACCTAGGGCCAGGTAGGCAATTGTTAGTCTGTTCTTCTGATACCCTCAAACCAAGGGCAGTGCCTACACCCCCAGACTGAGGGCAGCACCCTGAAGCATGTACATTCAGTCCAGGGTGATCATCCCTACTGCACACCCAGCCTTGGCTGGACCTGGGAACAGGCATTCATAAGACAGCCCAGGCCCTGCCCTGATGAGTCTGATGGTGGAGGCAGCCAATACAGCAGGAAAGCAAGGCTGGGAGTTGAAGGAAGAAATTTAACATGGTGGGTGTTGCAATCAACAACAATCTGAGGAATTTTTAAGATTTGACCTAAACAGCAGAGCAGTGAGAATTAGCATCCCAGGCAGAGGTAAAGACCTACAGCTGAGGCTTCAAATGTCCTCAAGGAAGCACTATACGGTCAGGGCAGCTTCCCGAGAGCCCCTAGAGCAAAAAGTGTGAACCCCATCCTCAGGCTAATCTATAATCCATCTCCCTAACAGCCGAGAAAGAACAAGGGGAACTTGCCGCCAGAACTGAATTAACTAGAGGTTTGAATATCTGAAACATTCTGGAGAAAAAGAAATATGTCAGTGGACTTAGTTTTCTTCAAGTCTTAGGCAAGCCCTTGGGCCATTATGACTGGGTAAACTGCTATCTCCTCCCCAGACAAAACTGGGGGCTATTCTTTCTGGAACATGAACTCACTGAGATTTACCTTCTCCCTGAGTGCCCACCGGCAGGGCAGAGGTTGCTTCAGTTGGGTCCTCTGATTGGCTGCCCTGGAGAAAGCCTTTGCGTTGGCTGGGGTGGAGGGGGAGGGGGGGAATGAACAATAACCCCCCCCCCCCAGTGACAGTTATCAAGGGTGAGGGGTGTCTGGCAGGATTTTGAAGTCGTAGGATCCTTCTGGCCTCATGTAAAATGTTGGCATTTTGGTTATCTTGAATTGTTTGCATTCATTTGGACTTCTTAAAATATTGTAATAAAATACTTTGTAATGATTTCTGTGTTTGGGGCATGTCCTTAAATTCTGTGCCATAGGCAAGTGCCTGCCACTCCTGTCTTATCCTAATCCTGACCTTCTATGTGTCATTTATACCCTCTATAGAAGCCCACTTATCAGGAGTGCCTTTATGACTGTGTCTCCCTGGGTTCTGGAAGTTTCTCGGCTCGCACACATATTTTCCCCTGAAATGGACTGCCCCTTGTGGAACAACGCTGGACATATGTACACAACCAAACAGCAGGGAGGACAACGAGGCTGCACTACAGATATGAAACACCCAGCCAGAAGCCCACATGGATGACCCCAGTGACTGTGCCCTCTGACCTACTGAGATCTACTTGCCCATCTATTGAAAGCTGGTTCTGTGAAAGCTTCCATTTCTGAAAGCACCAGATGGTCCACAAATGTCAAAGAGGGGAGGAAAGGCTGAAATTTCCATAAATTCACTTAAGCTAGGGGCTGGCCAGTGGGTGGGAAGTTGTTCTGGCCAGTCTCGGGGTGGAGGGGGGGACAAAAGGGACTTAAACCTCTGAAATGTGAGGCTCTAAGAGCAGAAATGGGGGGCCTTTCGAGATCTGGGTGCCTGCTCCAGGCCACATGCTGTGAGAAGGGGCAGGGGGGTGCTGCCACCAGGATGCTCATGCCGTGCTAAGAGATTTGGACTTGTCTGCCAGAGCGTGGGGAATTCGCAGAGATTTAGAAGCAAATTATATGGCCAGTCTGATCCAAAGTTAGGTTACTGAGAGCTTGGAGACGGAAAATGGACAGAGAAGAGAAATACTTATATAGATATTTTATTGAAGCACCCCCCAACAAGGGGTCCTATAGTATGTGTCCCATGCTAGAGAGGAAGACAATCACTCACAAGTTTGTAAAGTCCCTGCTTTTAAAAAAGAAGAAAGAAAAGTGACAAAATGACCCAGGGTGACCCCAAGCCTTAGGGACCTCTCCCCAGCACCCCAGTCTCAGGGGCATTTTCCCAGGCTGCTTTGTGAAGGGGAAGCCTGATGCTGGGAGGAAGAAAGGCCAGAGGGAAGGGCATGGAGAAAAAAGGCTTTTTCACTGAGAGCCATTAGCTGTTTGTTCCAAGTGACATTAAAGTGTGTTCATAACAGTAGGCTGTGCATTCAGGGGCAGCTTACAGGGGTCTCTGCACATTGATCACCTTGCACTTGAACTCTGACAACTATCCTGACACTCAAGATAGATGCATATTATTTCCATTTTAAATAAAGCAGATTGATGGCTGGACATGATGGCTCACAATTTGTAATCCTAGACATTGGGAGGCTGAGGCAGGAGGATTGCTTGAGGTCAGGAATTCAAGACCATCCTGGACAACGTAGCAATGCCCTATCTCTACAAAATTTTTTAAAAAAATTATCCATCTGTGATGGTTTCTACTTATAGTCCCCTCCACTCAGAGGCTGAGGCAGGAAGATTGTTTGAGACCAGGAGTTCAAGGCTACAGTGAGCTGGGCTGATGCCACTGAACTCTAGCCCAGGCAACAGAACTAGACTCTGTCTCTGAAAAAAAAAATTAATTAATTAAATATAATGAAAGCAGATTGAGCCCTAGAGGCTCAGAGAGGTTAGGCGACTTGCCAGAGGTAACACAGCTACTAAGTAGAAAGCCACACCAGAGGTTGCTGGGGTGGATATGGGGAAAGGCTGTGAGTGAGCCCCAGTGGATCATGACACAGGACAAGTGGGAAGACTGAGGTCCCAGTGCCTGAGAACAGGCACGTCTATGACTTGCAGGGAAAGCGCTGAATGCAGTGACAAGGCCCACCTGGGAGAGTCTGCCAAGGACCACGAAGGCTCAGGTTGAATTGAAAGCAAAGATTCTGCCCATTGAACACAGTGATTGTTCACAGGTCACTTCCCAATCTCGCCCACTGTGGTGGAAGTTCCTAGAGGGCAGGGCAAAGCACATCTGTTTCCTGATGGGCTGTGCACACCATCCTCACCATCCATGCGAGTGTACTCACTCGACACACCCAGAGGGGCCCAGTCGCTCCAGTGGCAGTCCCTGGGGAGCAGTTGCTGGCTGGCTCCTGTAATCAGGTTTGTTTTGCTTCATAGTTCCCCAGTGGCTAATAACATGATCTGGAAAGATTAGCAGAATAAGGAATTACTTCTCCTTTGGAGAGGAGAAGTAGAGGCATGGAGAGAGAGAGAGTAGGTGCTTTGACTAAACTCACACAGCAGAGCCAGTTGTTGAAACTCTCAGCCAGGGGCCTTTTCTGGTCATCCTTCAGGGGTCTCTCTGGAACACAGAACCACAGTCAGAGCCCACAGAGGAGCACCCTCCTTCCCCAAGGGGGATACGGTACCTGGAAAGAGATCAGACCTGCTAGCTGCTCAAATTTTTCTCCATTCAAATTGCAGACAGGGGATCCATGCAGCCCAGAGCTGTGTGTCCAGTCAAATTGCAAACAAGGGACCCATGTTGCCCAGGTAGGGTGTGTTTCAGGAAGGCTGATGGGGCCCAGGGAGTGTAGGTTCTCCTCACCCCTGGTGATGGTCACAACCGGAAGCTTCACACATGAAGGAGAGAGGTCTTCTTGCTATGGGCACACTCTGGCCACCTGGGTTCGAACCCTAGCTCTAACACTTCCCAGCTGTGTGATTTGGGCAATCTGCCTGCCCCACTGTGCCTCAGTGTCCCCATCCATAAATCAGGGGCGATGATGAAAGTATTAATTATGGCTAGGGTATGCTTCTAGGTGTGCCAGGCACGGGCTGAGCCCTGGGCACAAGGCCAGGGAAAATTCCCCAGGCTTAGCTGGCTCCGGCCTTAATCACTGCACCTCCCTGCCTCTCTGTGAAGTCACCAAGGTGATCAATGTATTTAAATGCACACACACTT